CCTTTAAAACCATACAGAACTGGACTCTTCATGTCCTTTAAAACCCTACAGAACTGGACTCCTCAGGTCCTTTAAAACCCTACAGAACTGGACTCTTCAGGTCCTGTAAAACCCTACAGAACTGGACTCCTCAGGTCCTTTAAAACCCTACAGAACTGGACTCCTCAGGTCCTTTAAAACCCTACAGAACTGGACTCCTGTAACTGTTTTAATGTTTATCTGGAGAGAAAAAAACGTGAATCCAGAGTCAGTTTGTAAAAAGAGGCCAGCTGTTTACGACTCATTAATCCCAGTCTTTCTGTCCTGCTGAAGTGTTTTAATCCCTGAAGAYTTTTATAATCTGATGCCAGAACAAAATGTTATATAACAAAAATTTTTTAAATCTATTCTTATTGTCATTTGTCTTTTCATGTCAGGTATTTCAAAACTCACTTTTAACTATTTTTATACCAAATTAGATCCAAACTTACATCGAGACGGCGGACCCTCCTCSATGCTTCTAACAGAATTATTCTGCTGACGCAGCAAAAAGCTGAGAGCCGGTCAGTCAGGGTGAAGAGCAGGAGGTCCTGGTCCAGGACCAGAGTCCCCCTTGTGTCAGAACCTGTCCATCCACCTGTCCGTCAACCAAACAGGAAGAAGGTAAAGCATAAATAAAACAGGAGTGGGCCACTTCTCCTTCATCAATCATGTTTCCTTCAGAGGCTGATGAGAAAAAGCTCTTTAATCCAATCAGCCTGAGCTGATAAATAAATAAAATAAACAAATAAATCTCAGCCTTCAGACATGACAAACGGCCTTATTTGTGTTTTTATTAGCAGCGACTGAAGGCGGCGCGACGCATCCAAATCATCCTGATAAAACCTGAGTAATCAGGTTGTATTTGCTGCAGAAACAGTAAAAATGTAAATCTGTAGTTTTATTCTAACCTGCTTTTAGTAAAGTGTTAATGTGACGTGACCCTCCACCAAAGCTCTGAACGTTTCAGCAGATTTCTCCCGACAGGAAGAAACTTCACCGACCACAGCAGCTCCAGAGCTGAAGGCTCAAAGTGAACTCGTTTATTTTCTGTTGGCAGTTCGCTCTCAGCTTAATCTCAGCAAAACTGCTGACTCATGCTTAAAGGAGGTAAATTAGAATCTTTGTCATGTTAGCACAATGAAGGAAATGACAAGAAAGGTGCAGAGAGAGATCGTCTACAGCCACCATGTTGATATTTAACTAAATATTTCACATTTACAGAGAGGCTGAGACAGAATGGTGGGTTAATGAGGGCTGACGTGTGGAAGGGATAGTGGGGGGGGGGTACGGTGGGGTTCGTGGTGGTCTTGTGTAAATTTAATATTGGACATAAATGAGGCCGTCACAGGCTTATAATGTGTTTAATAGTGGGCTGAACACACATCCCTGAGGAACCCCAATGTTAATGTTTGTAATTGAGGAAAACAGCAAACAGGACTGGGGAAAAATAAACTCATAAATAAAAAAGTGATAATTTTTTTTGTTTTAAAACAACAGGTTAATCTGAAATGTGTCAGAATCTTAACCAGTTTTCTCAGTATTTAAACCGTTATGTCCTCAGTGTAAAACAAACATTTACAGGCTCAGGTTTCTTTGAACAAATGCATTTCATCCAACAACTTTTATTTTTAGACATTTTAAATCGAAATTACTGATTTGCAGTGTTGACCAGCACTAATTTAAATATTAGTTGCACTAACCCTAAAGCACTAACTCAAATATTTAGGTCCCCTAACTCTAAAGCACTAAGTCACTGAAAAAAAGTAAAAGCTAATTCTAAAGAATTAAATAATCCAGTTGACACATAAAACCTTCTTTAGTCAACATGTGACAATATTTACTGTGCAGAATGTTGTCACTTAGTGCCCTTGGTGGGCCAAATGGGAATCTCCTGCAGGCCACGTTTGGCCCGTGGGCCTTGAGTTTGACACGTGACCTWGTAGATAAATGACAAATATGAACAAAACATATGAGAGCTTTCACCCTCAACTGTGAACAACAATGTTGATCAATAACATTTAAAGATCTCAGTTAGTGCTTCTAAATTTAGCCCACAGATTCAGCAAGTGCTAATCCACTAATGAATTAAAAAATAGCAAAAGCCCTAAAGCACTAATCAGGAAACTAGTTCCCCTATTAGTGCTTTAGGGAATTGTGCCCAACCACTGCTGAGTTTTAGTCATTTTGGTCAAAGTTCATAATAAAAATTATTTTGTTGTGGGATTACGTAAAATTTAAAGACCTCATATGACCCAAATGTGCTCAGATTATTTGTCGTGAACCACTCCAGAGTTTATCTGTGTAACCTGAGCAGCAGCCATTTTTATTTTGGCTCAGTTTCATTAGGAGTGGCGGCCATCTTGAACTGTCTTCAAAGGACAACCAGCTGTTTTTAAGTAAAATACGTTGACAGCTTTATGAGATATCTTAGTTAGTCGTTATAATGAAC